ATGTAGGTACTTTCCAGACTATGATCAAGTCATCTCTTAATTGTTCTTTCACTTTGAGGGTTTCTTCACACACAAAGTTGCACCAGTTTAGCTAAATTGGTACATCACACTTAGTTAAACCAGTGAATCTTTGTGTGTAGTCCAGGACATATATTCAGGTTTGAACAAAGTCAAAATGACTTCCAAATGAAACCATCAAATTGATGCTAATTTCATATGAAATCATTCAAAACCAAATATTGCATTATTTGAAAGCAAACCAACAGAGATTCACTTGCATGTAAGCCCAGAGTCACATGAAAACTTCATTAATCTTTCTATGAACCTCTTTACACATTGTATATAATTTAAACTTTGAGTCCTGCCTTTCAGTGTCTTCTAGAGCTGTGTTCCTGCCTATGTTATAGACCTTGTCTCCTATCCTGTCTCCCCTTGACACTTCTGCCTCATCAATTAACCCTAACAATGGTATTAGTCCATTACTAGATAGAAATGGTAGAATTGTCAATAAAATAATGAAGAAAAGGCAGAAGTGTTCAATAAATATTTGTTCTCTATTTGGTGGAAAATATAGCTGATGTATCATGATGATAATGAAACACTTTCTAATTCAATAATAATCCAGGAGGATGTTAAACAGCAGCTACTGAAGTTAGACATTTTAAAATCAGCTTGGCCAGATAACTTGCATCCAAGAGTTTTAAAAGAGCTGGCCAAAAAGCTCGCTGGATCATTAATTTTGATTTTCAATTACTCTTGGAATATTGGAGAAATTCCAGAAGTCTGGAAGAAAGCTAATATTGTGCCAATGTTTAAAAGAGGAGTAAATGGGACAACCTGGGTAATTATAGGCCTGTCAACCTGACCTAAATCCTGAGAAAAATAACAGAACAGCTGGTATGGGTCTTGATTAATAATGAATTTAAAGGAGGGTAATATAATTAATGCCAATCAACCTGGGTTTATGAAAAATAGATCCTGTCAAATTAATAAGAGATCTTTTTTTCGTGAGATTACAAGTTTGGTTGATAAAGGTTGTAGAGTTGATATAATATACTTAGACTTCTGTAAGCCATTTTACTTAGTACCACACAACATTTTGATTAAAAAATGAGAACAATACCAAATTAATATGGCACACATTAAATGGATTAAAAATGGCTAATTGATAGGTCTCAATATAATTTTAAACAGAATTTTCATCAAGCAGGTGTGTTTCTAATAAGGTCCTACAGGAATCCATTCTTGGCCCTAAAATATTTAACATTTTCATCAATGACCTGGAAGAAAAATAAAATCATCACTGATGAAGTTTGCAGATGACACAAAGATTGTGAGATGGTAAATAATGAAGAGGACAGGTCATGGATGTGTTTCAATAGGGCCAATGTAAAGTTATACATCTAGGAACAAAGATGTAGGTCATACTTACAGGATGGGGACTGTATCCTTGGAAGCAGTGACACTGAGAAAGGTTTGGAATAGTAGTGGACAATCAGCTGATCATGAGCTTCTAGTGTGATTGTGTGGCCAAAAAGGCTAATGCAATCATTGGATGTATAAATGGTACTCCTAGGGGAATTCTGCACCACTGCGTGTGCGCAGAATTTATGGCCCCCGCAGATTTTTTTTGCTTTCTCACAGAAAAATGACTTTCTGACAGGGAAGCAAAGGGAAGCCACAAGAGCCCAGCAGCATAGGCATGTTGTTTTGGGCACCTGGAGCAGCTGGCAGAGAGGTAAATTATGGGGGGAAAGGAGGGCTGGGGACACCCTGGCTGGTGCCAGGTCAGACCCACCCCCCATCTGCCCAAACCTTGTGCATCCAGACCCCCCTGGACCCTCTGTTGAGCCTTACCTCCCCGTCGCAACCATAATCCCCCTCACTGAGTTACCCACATCTGAACCTCCCACAACCAAGCCTTACTTCCTGTACCCAGCCCTCCCCAGCCCCTGTACCTTGAACCTCCCAAACAAGGTGCTGTGCATCCAGATCCCCGCGCACGCAGACCCCCCCCCACTGAAGCCCCACACCCAGATTGCCCCACACAGAACCCTCTCACCCCACACCTGGACCCCCCCACATTAAGCCCCTCCACACTCGGATCCTGCTGGGCTGAGCCTGCCTGCCCACACTTGATGTGGAGAGGCAGGGCCTTGGGTGTTTCTGGGGCAAGCCCGGCCCTTGCACTGTGTCAGGGTCAAGTACAGCCTCACCACTGAGTCCGTGTCCTGGGGGGTGGGGGGAATGCAGGGTGATCTCCCACCTCCATGCAGCCAGTGGCCTGTGCTCCCCATTGCCATGCTAGAACTTCCACATTTATTGACAAATACAATCTGCAGAATTTTGCAGTTTTTTAAAATATTGTGTGCAGCATTATTTTATTTTTTGGCACATATTTTTTTTAATTTTTTGATGCAGAATTCCCTCAGGAGTAAAATGGGAATCTTAAGTAGGAGTAAGGAGGCTATATTACTTCTGTATTTGGTACTGGTGTGACTGCTATTGGAATATTGTGTCCAGTTCTGGTGCCAACAATTCAAGAAGGATGTTGATAAATTGGAGAGGGTTCAGAGGAGGACCAAAAGAGTATTAAAGGATGTAAAACCTGCCTTATCGTGATAGACTCAAAGAGCTCAATCTATTTATCTTAACAAAGAGAAGGTTAAGGGGTGACTTAGTCATAGTTTATAAGTAATTCATGGGGACCAAAAATTTGATAGTGGGTTCTTTGATCTAGCAGATAAAGGTATAAGAAGATCCACTGGCTGGAAGCTGAAGCTAGACAATGTAGTCTGGAAATAAAGCACAAATTTTGAACAGTAACTGTAATTAATCACTGGAAGAATTTACCAAAGGTTGTTGTAGATTCCCCATCACTGACAATTTTTAAATCAAGATTGGATGTGTTTCTAAAAGATGTACTCTAATTCAAGCAGGAATTAATTCAGGGAAGCCTAATGCCCTGTGTTATATAGGTCAGACTACACTAGATCTAGATGATCACAGTGGTCCCTTCTCACTTTATAATCTGTGAATGATGCCAGTCTCAATTACTTGTTTCTTTCTTTCTTTCTCCCACTCCCATCTGTGTGGGCTTTTTCCAGGAACACCCCTATGCATGGAATGCTATCCCCAGGCCAGTGTACCAAGCTACCACTTTCTCTTCATTAAAGTCACTTTTATAATCACCTTTTGCCACTAGGCCCTAAAGAGTAGGGTTACCATACGTCCGGATTTCCCCAGACATGTCCGGCTTTTTGGTACTCAAATCCCCGTCCAGGGGGATTTGCCAAAAAGCCGGACATGTCTGGGGAAATAGGGAGGCAGCATAAGCCAGGGTCCGCCTGGCCCCAGCACGACCCGCTGGGTCCGCAGCGCAGCCCAGCCGCCCAGCTACATTGTAGCGAGCTCGGGCGGGGGAAGGGGGGGGTGCAGCCGCAGAAGGCGGCGAAGGGGCCGCTGCTGCCCCCGGAGGCTGGGTGGACCGCGCGCCCCAGCCGAGCCCGCAGGACCACGGGGAGGCCGGGCCCAGCCAACAGCTCGGGCTTCCCTCACGGGCGGGGACTCCCCGGCCACTGGGGGACCCTTCCTGCGGCCCCATCACCCCACGCAGCAGGAAGGAGGCTGCAGCGCGGGGCAGGGAGTGTGGCGTGTGCCGGGGCTGCAGGGACCCGCGCTGCCCCGGTCGCCGCTGAGCATCCGAAGCCCCCGCCAGGCAGAGGCTGCCGGGGGAGCGGGGGAGCAGGGCAGGCAGGGGCATAGAGGCTGCAGGGGCAGGGGGGCGCAGGGGCAGGGCAG